CGAGACTGGCACCCAGACGGCAGACTGCCACGCTTTCTCAAACTGATAACGACTGCGGTTCTGTGAAAGAATGGCCTTGTTCTGAGAAGTAACCCAGAAGTATTTAGGACAAAAGGACATGATGCTTGCAACTTTCAAATGGTTCAGAAAAAATATCTGAGAGAGAGAGAGAGAGTGTGTGTGTGTGTGTATTGAGAAAGACAGAAAGAGCGAGAATGACAAAGCAAATGGCACACAATGCTAACTGGTGAATCTGGGTAAAGGGCGTAGTGAGTGTTCTCTATAACACACTTGAAATTATCCTGCAAGCTTGAAATTATTTTCTAATACGTCAATGAATAAAGGAATTGGACTAAATTGTAATAAGGTCCCCTAAAAATTCTAAATTTCTAAATTTTAGAAATTTCTAAAATTCTAAGATGTCAGGAGACTACTGAGCAGCCGGCCGGCACGCGTTCATAAACAGCAGCGTGCCAAGCGCGGGGGCGTGAGGGCGGGAGCCGCACTGAGGGCGCAGCGCAGACGAGACACCACGGAACAAACGCAGGCGGTGAAGTCACCGCCTCCTCCACAAGGCGCGCCCCTGGAAAGTCTGGTTCCGAGATCCGCATCTGCCACGGCGGCCCAGGGGAGCGGCCCAGCTCCCACAGAGCCGTTCTCACGGTGCACACGCCCCTCCTTACCTCTGGTGGCTGTGCACAGGGCCCCGCGCCACCCCAGCACGGTTCCGGGAGAGCATGTGGCACCAGGAGACCATGCTCTGTCCCCAACCTGTCCCTCAGCACAGAGGCCCAGGCTTTCCGAGGACAGGAAGGCTCCGTGGTGCCCTCACTCTTGTCTCCTGATGAGCGTCAGCCAAGCTTTCAGTTTGGTCTTCTCTTCCCTCCCCTTAAAGCTGTCATCTCTCTGATGGCTAGTCCAAATATTTACATGTTCTCATCACCCACAGAATTCCCTTTCACACGAAGCCTCCCACTGCAAGAGCTGAAGCCTGAAGTCCAGCGAACCAGCGGTGGGGAAAATAAAGTTCCCACAAGCATACCTACCATTGGAGCTATGGACCTGAGTATTATTCACAGCTGGAGATGATTTTGTTTCTTTTTGGAAAATAAAAAAAAAAAAATTCCAGGCCAGTATTACCAGTCTTCCAGTACACAGCTAAGGCGGTGGACACAAAGGTCCCCACTGCGCCATCACGCGCTCCTGCAAGGCGGGAACCGAGGCGTGATGGGCCCACGAGAGGAAGCGATGGGCCAGCACTGCCACCTGCCCCCACCAGGTGAAGGACAGGGCGCTCCCCGCGGGCGGGCCGCCCAGACTGGACTGCTCCCCGTCCTTGTCATTTACGCAGGAAACCTGTCAGGAGTCATTTCCCAGCCTCACAACGGTCTTTCTAGACTAATGATTCGCAGGTGGCATTTGTATAAGTAGATAAATACGTCCAGTAATTTAAAAATATAGAAGTCATTATTTAAAAATAATAGTTGGGAATGCAGTGTAAAAAACATAAGCCTAACATTTAAACACTTTTGAATAAAAATGCAAACAAATGGGGTAACCAGGCAATTCAAATAAAGCAATTTGGACAATGCCAATTGGAATCGCTGGCTAATGTGGAGAGTAACAATGTTCAGAAAATCAATGTCACTAACTCTTGCTGACCCTGACTGAGAATCGGCTAAATAAAAACATGTAAAGAACAGAGAAGAGAAAGGGGACACAGTTGTACAAACACAAAAGGAAACTTACCACAGGAAAGCAAATGTACTTGAGGCTGGGGAAATGAAGGAAAAGCCAAAGGAAGGGAAAGACAAGCATAATGTACGAGCTCCAGCTCTTTCTCTCGAAGCTTCCAGAAAAAAATCCAGATGGGTCAAGCCCTCTCCCCACTCCACCCTTTATCTCACCCCAAAATGTGCAACAACAGGCATTTGGGAAGAATAGAGCAACTAGATTGCAAACTGCCTCCCACAGCACCTCTAAAATGTCTGAATCCTGAAATAGGTCTATCATCTGCACATTGTTTGCTGCACAGTAAATTCCAACAAATCTGGACCAATAAAATACCCTTGAAAAATGAGTGTGCAGAGTTACAAGATTGAGACAGATTGTTGGAACAGGCTAACAACAAGGAACTGACTTTTCCTCTTTGGCATCACAAGATGATTATGTAACATGTTCAAGCTTATGGAAAGATATTTAAGCTAGAGCAATACACTGCAACTGATTCTTTAAAAAAAGATTGAAAACCCATCTCTCAAACTTCTAATAGCTTGGTGAGGTTTTCTTCAACCTTCCAAACAATGCAGATCAGTCAACGTCAGTTCAGAAACATTTTTACCGGCAAAAAATTTTTACAGTCAAGTCTTTTAACACTGGCTCATTTGCAATCCAGCTCATTCCCTGAAGACAGCAAACAGTGGTATGGGCTGCTCTCTGAATTCAGTGAAGTATCAAGATCAAGAAAATACCAAATGCATGTGACTAATTTTCCTTGAAATCCAGAAATGCTGGCAGGAGAACAGGTTCCTAAGTGTAGGATTTTTAAAGTCAAGAATATGTGGGGAAGTCAGTCCCACCGTGACGTTCAAGTGTTGCCTGGGCAAGAGTCAGCTTGCTTGCTGATTTTGAGACATCTTGGGAAAGTCTGAGGTGAGTGTCCATTGCTAAATCAAGAGTCAGCCACAACACCGATACTTTACAGGCTTCTCAAAGAGCTCCCCGGACTGACAGCTTCCACGGTGTGTGCTTTAAAAAGATGTCCACAAATTCTTTGTAACTATTCTCATCGAGAAGAGGAGTCTAATTTTCCTTCCCTTAAACATGAGCTGGCCTTACTGACCTGGATCCAGGGAAGAAAATCATGTTGTAGGTGACTTGCTGTGACGTAGGCTATAAAAAGAGAGACAGCGTCTGCCTAGCTGTCTCTTGAGCTGATCTCCCTGGAATTCCAGCTGCCACACTCTGAGGAGGTCAGGCCGGTGGCGGAGCTGCGTGTAGGTGTTCCAGCTGACAGGCCCCGCTGAGGCCCTAACCAACGATCGGCTTCAACCAGCGCATTTTATGTGTTTCCTCAACCATGTGAGTGAGGAAGCCTTAAAGAGCATTTCAGCCGACTTCCCAGCCACCATCTGACTGTAACCACATGAATGGAAAGCATCTAGCTGAGGCCAGTCAGTTCCCAGAACCATAAGGGATAATAATAATCAATAAATGTTGTAGTTTTAAGAGTGAGATCTGCAAACTATGAACTGTGGGCAAATTTGGGCCTGCAACCCATTTTTCTACAGCCTATGAGTTGAGCTGGGTTTGGCACATTTTAAAAGAAACAAAACAAAACAAAGCAAAATATGCAACAGAGACCATATGTGGCCCTCGAAGCCTTATGATCGTTATTCTACGGCCCTTTACAGAAAAAGCTTGCTCGCCGCCGTCTTAAGCCACTGTGCTTCCAGACGCTTTGCTATGCAGTCACAGTTACGCAGCTGGAACATGTGGATCATAACAGGAACCGTCAATGGGCGAATCCGGGATGCAGGGCCCGTGAGAGTCACACTGAAAAGTCACAGCTCAACCGTTACCCGCACGTCAATACTTATCCCACAATTAATTACTACCACACAATTTTCTGATTTCACAAGCACACTTTTGTTCCACCAAAGCAAAAGTCAGGGTAATGTGATTCGCCAACCAAGAAGAATAGAGTACTCGTGACTCTCAGAACTCTGACTCCAGATTAAACTCCAAGGTCTAAAAGACCCATTAATAATTTTAGTAATAATAGCTGGCATTTACTGAGTCCTTACTATGTTACAAACACTGTTCTAAGCTATTTTATATGCATTACTTCAGCTGAGGCCCATGACAACACTTATTTCCATTTTACAGGCGAGATAACAGAGGCACGGAGAAATGATCTAATCCATCCAAGGTCACAGAGGCCGGAAGGACTGAGCTGGGGCTTGAACCCAGGACTGGCCGGCATCCATGACCCTGACCACTGCACTCTGCTTCTCCTCTCCAGAAAGTGTCTAACCAAGATGCCCAGTCCTTGTTTAGAGGAGGCAGCCGGCTTCCATGGGAAGGGCAGCACGCTTTGGCCTCTCTGACCAGGCCTCCCTGGGTGCGAGCCCAGGGCGCTGTGCATCCACCAGGAAACTGGGTCTCCATCTCTTTCCCCTCAAACTTAAGATCTTCAGTAGCACTAGTTTTTCTGTTGAGAGGATATGAAACTCCAAGACAGCCCCAAACTATGGCTGGTTATAAACTGTTCCTTCCAAACTATCAAAGGCGTCCTCACATTTTCCCTCTGGTTTCTGTCAGTCAACACATGGAAAATTATGTTTGCCAAAGGAATGATTGTCAGGGAAGACACAATATAGATTCTTCGTTGCCAGCCCTTGGATCAAGAAAATCATCAGACTGAACAAGAACCAATCAGTACGAAAAAGATATGCAAAACATTGTTAGGACCAGTAATCATGGAGAACAAAATGAGTATCAGTTTCCTCTTCCATGAGCTGTGAGTGATAATACCTGTCTTTGATTTGTTGTGAAGACTAGTGCCAAGATATATAAAAGCCTAACCCAGTGGCTGGCATACAATTACTGGTAGTTATTAATTACTGTCATTTTAACATGGAACATGCCTCTCTTTTAAAGAGCTGCTAACTGGCCAACGATGTTTCACTAGAATAACTGGAAAAGCTGTTAATCGCAAGAAAGACCTGTATTTATGAAACAAGATGGAGAGTAAGAGTTGCTGCTTACCCATTGGGTACACAGTTTCCATTCCCTTTTTGTAATACACCTTTTCCACAGAGGAATGTTTTGTTTTAATTATATACAAAAATGACCCCTTCACACTCTTTACTCCAACTGAACTTGGCACCAATAGCTGGAGATCAATGAAAGAAAGGGCAATGCTCTGACTTTAACAACGCACCAAGCTCACCTTATCACGGTGCCCAAAGGCAGGGCACAGCATCTTGTCTACTCACCAAAAGGGAAAAATGATGAGGCGGCTGATGAGAAATATGGCAGAAAAGATAAAAAACAGGATGTTGCAGGTTTGCTTCCATCTGGCATAAGAAAACATCTTAGCAGACTAGAAACGGAAAAAGAAATTGTATTCAGATAGTGATGTTAGTACAAATTTGTTAAATCACACATTTATAAATGATATAATATCTGAGATTTGCTTCGAATCAATCGGGGGGGGATGTGAGTGGGGAAAGAGATGAAACCAGGTTTGTGGTATCGATCACTGTTACAACCGGATGGCGGATCCACTGGGCCACTCTTCTCTTCATCTTGTCATAAAACATCATGTTAAAGAAGGACGGGTGGAGATATTACTCCAGTCTTGCACCAACACTACAAATTAGCAAAATTAATGTTAGCACGCCTTTTATCAGGCTCTTTGTTTAATTTCCGCATTGAGCTGGAAGGTGAGCGGGACTGAAGGAAGGCTGGGGCCTGAGTGAAGTCCTGGCTGAGCTGGGAAGGCTGCAGACGAGACAGCTGCTTCAGGGCAGATAGGAGGCAACTCCTGGGCCTTGTCCTGCTTGAAATCAAGGTTCAAGCACTTGATTTTCTCCACTGACTTCATGCTAGTCTATACTGCCCATATTATCTGTGTTGAGTAAAAGAATTATAGGAAGGCTGCTTAATGTGGTCTTAGAAGGTGAACTGATGAGTATTCTACACTTTTAAAAGGGTTTCCATTGCATTGCAATTTCCATACTTAACCATGGGGTACGGACATGATTGGATGATGGGGTTGGCACACAGCCCAAAGGGGGATATAGTCTCAGTTTCTGAGATAGAAGGCTAATACGCCAGGTGGCTGGGAGGTGGGTATGAGAGGAAAGGCCAGCTGTTTAGAGTGGTGGCTGTACCAGAGCAGGGAGCTGACTGAAGGGTCAGAGGCCAGGCCTGGGTGTGTTGCTAGAGACGTACAGGGCCGAAGAGCACTCGTTTGGGCAAATACACACACAGTCATTTCTGACTGTGCCGAGCTGGACACCAGACAGTAACCCATCGCCCTGGCTGTGCATCAGTCAGGATACTGTTAAAGCGCTGGGTCCTGGATCTAAACTCGAACATGTGGTCAATTAGAAAGGATCAAGAAGATGCATGAAGAAGGAAAAAGGCCACTTATGAGTAAAACATGGTAGATGTTGAGGCTGTTTTTCCTTGCAAAGAGAGAGCTAAGAAATGGCCGACCAACTGCCTTGAGGGATGTGAAGGATTAATAGTCTCCATCCCTAGGAAGGTCTAACCAGGGGCGAAAGTTGTACCCTGTCTGGGTTCAATTAGAACTTGACTGAGAGGACAAACATTTAAAAAAACCTACTCGAGGAAGCTGTGGAATAGGCACCCCTGGAGAATATTAAAAAAATAGGCCCCATGCCACCGCTTCACGTTGTCTCTGCCGCCAGCTGACAGAAGGTACTGGCCTTGCTCACTGAACCTCCAGTTTAGATCGTGACTTGTGAATCAAGAATGATTCATGGTCATTAACAACATGAAGCTGCTTTCACAGTTCGCCCAAGCAGGGACCTCTGAATCTGACGTTTCATTTTTCTTTGTTTTTTACCTAAGGCCTTAAGAGCATTTTGTAACAGAAATAAGCTAAACTTCACAATATACCCGAAGGGTCAGATGTGGCTTCTCATGTTCCAGCTGAGGTTAGAACACAAAGCATCCAGTGATTTGCCCGGCTGCCTAAGGAGCTGTGCACGTCAATGGCAGGGTCGGGGGAGGGCTGGCGGGGCGACCCTGCGCTTGTTCCCACTTCCAGTGTCTAACTCCCTTTGAATAACACAACGAAGCTGTTTTTACAGTGGAGACACACCAAAGGCAATTGAACTGGAGGGTTTAGAAGCAACAGGGTAGCATAAAATTCTTAAGTCACAGCCAATGTGGTCTCAATTTTCAGGCAGGGTTACTGCGATATGATCAGAGAGGGGGGTAATTACAACCGAGGTGGCCACAGTCAGAGAGAAACACACGGGAAACCTGGCACAATCCTCCTTTTGCTGGGCCATTTGCTGCCTGAAGCAAGTATAACAATCCTGACCTTCAGAATAGGATTTACATGCCTAATTACAATTACATACAAGAAACAAAATGCTCTACACAGCTAATATTTAATAGTAGCCAGTTGCTTTGAAATGGCTTCAAATGACTTCTCGTTATGTCTAGAACAGGGTTTGGCAAATCACAGTCTATGGGCTAAAGGTGGTCAGCTCTTTAGGTAAGAATGGTTTTCACATTTTTAAAGGGATATAAGAAAAGACAAAAAAGGAGAGAGAGAAAGAGAGAAATAAAAATATGTGACAAGAGATTCTATGTGGTGCACAGAGCTAGATTTACTATCTGGCCCTATTCCAAAATGTTTGCTGAATCCAGATCTAGAAGAACAAGATCATATTACATTTAATTTCATTTCTTCCATATCAACCTATGTTCAGTTACTAGTTCTTCAAGAGGCAATTCTGAATGCAAAATGGGTTGGCATCATCTCCCCCAGCTTCCTTGCGAGTGAATATATTGAAACGATGAAGCGTGTGGCTCTAGCGTGCAGCCGGGAGAGCTGCCCGTTAAGAAGATCACTGGATCACACCCACAGGGTATGCAGGGACCAGGATCTAACAGAACAGGTGGAGAAAACAATCCTAACTTTGCTTTGTTCCTCAGATTTTGTATGGTTTGGGATTAGGAAGACTCTCATTTTAATGTCCACTGCTCCAAAACATCTGTTCCTTAAGAAATGAAATGTTCTTTGAATAAGTAACAGCTTTCATTTACGAAGCTTGAGAGTCATCAGGGCAGCGCAAGGATCCAGTGGGTATTCAGCTCTGGGGTGAGTATACAGTGCTGTCCAGCATGAAGAATCCACGGTGCCCTGAGTTTAAGTCCTCCTTTTAAAAGATGGGAGCTCATTCCATCTTCAAATGGCTTAGCTTACCCCTGAACTACTATCTGCGTGCAGCTTCCTTCAGCGCAAACCCGCAGGTTAACCTCTCTGTGAGGTACCATGAAGAAAGAGGGTTGCAAAGTAAAACCTAAAGGTTTCCTTCCTGTGAACCTGAAGGACCTGGGTACCCAGCGACACCTGTGAACGTGGGGTGTCTTCAGGACGCAGAGCCCTGCTCAGTCGCTCAGAGGCCATTCTCCCCGCGAGGAGGCACAGAGGCCCAGGAGGCCCCATCGTTGCCGGCGTTTCTGTGGCGAACACTCACCTCCAGCCAGATGTCGGCCACGTCGTGCACAATCATCACCAGGGTCCCGCTGCGAATGTAGTTAGCACACCAAGAGAAGCTCATCAGACTAATGGCAGCCAGGTGGTGGATGACATGAGCTAGGAAGTCCTGCACAACGCGGGGACAATGGCAGCCATTAAGAAATGCACTTATTTCCCAATCACTGGAGGAGCTCATACTACTACTACTACTACTACTACTACTACTACTACTAGCTTCAAAACTAGTAACTGACATCTGTATGTTTTGAAATTGTGAAAGGCTTTCATTTTAATTCTTAAACATAATCCCTGGGAGGCAGACAAGACAAGAACTACCCTCACTGATGAAGTCACCTGACACTGAGAGAGCATGACCTGTTGTCATCGAAGTCCCAAAACCAGCCATTCTCCCTGCCACTCATGCTACGTGTAGACACACACACAACACCCACATATACACACAAGCATGTTCCTGTGCACATTCACATTTATTGTTTATTCCTGCCTAATTGAGAAAAGGAAAACAAGACACATAACAAAACTATATAACCATTAAAGAAAGAGGTGCTACATAGGAAAGAGGTAACGAATGAAAGTGAAATAACTCTATTAGCAAATCTAGGGTAAGGAAAGTTACCGCAACTGAGCATAAAAACTCAAAGATTTTCTACAAAGATGTACAAACAGCCAATAAACACATGAAAATATGCTCAGCCACATTGGCCATCAGGAAAACATAAACCAAGGCTACAGTGAGATACTACTTCACACCCACCAGGATAGCTCTATTGGAAAAGATAAACAATAACAAGTGTTGGCAAGAGTGTGCAGAAATTGGAACCCTTATACATTGCTGTTAGGAATGTAAAGTGGTGTGGCTGCTTTGTTAAGTAGTCTGGCAGTTCCCCAAAAGGTTAAACATAAAATTACCATATAGCCCAGCAATTCCACTCTTACATATACCTAAGAGAAATAAAAACATGCTTCTGCAAAATCTTATATATGGAAGTTCATAGAAGCTGTATTCATAATAGCCAAAAAGGTAAAGACAACCCAAGTATTCATCACTGATAAATAAATAAACAAAATGCAATATATCCATACAAGGACTATTTTTAAAAAAGAAATGAAATACTGACACATGTTACAATATGAATGAATTTGCAAAAGATTATGCTAAGTGAAAGAGGCCAGATATAAAAAAACACATATTGTGTGATTCCATTGATATGAAATGTCCAGAAGAGACAAATCCATAGAGACAAAAAGTAGATCAGTGGTTGCCTAGGGCCGGGGAAGCTAGAAGAAATGGGAGCCGACTGCTAGAGGAATTTATTTTCGAGGTGATGAAAACATTCTCAAGCGGACTGTGGTGACGATTGCAGAACTCTGTGACTACGCTCAAAACCACTGAATTACGCGCTTTAGATAGATGAATGGTGTGGCATGTGGATACTTAATAAAAATGTTTTGTAAAACACTTAAAGATTTAGGTTTCCTTGCAGCCAGTGAAAGCGTGAACATGATGATGATAATAGCCTAATTTATTGAGCACGTACTGGTAGCCCAGGAAGTGCTTCCTGTGATTTCACTTGTTTAATCCTCACAACAACCAGAAGAGCTAGGAACTTTTTTTAGCTCCACGCTGTAGTTTAGGGAGTTTAACCAACTAGCCTGAGATGCTAGTGAGTTTGTCAAGCTAGGGATTCAAACCTAGGCTATCTGACCCCAGAGCCGGTGCTTTACCCAACTCCTAACTAATAGTGTTATGTCTCTGAAGATATGTGTTTACAAACATATGATATATAGCTGCACTTAATTTTTTAATTTTTCAATATTTATTCTTAGGGAGAGGGGAAGGTAGGGAGAAGTGAGGGAGAGAAACATCGATCAGTTGCCTCTCACGCACCCCCCGGCTGGGGACCAAAGGCACGTCCCCTGGCGGACAGCGAACCGGCAACCCTTCACTTTGCAGGATGATGCCCAACAGACTGAGCCATGCCAGCCAGGGCTGTGTGTAATTTTTGAAAAAGTACTCAATGCTCCTTGAAATGATAAGGAGAAATCAACTTTTTTGATTGTCTCAAGGAATTTCAAAAGACCAAATCATTACAGGATCAACCTACTTGAGTATTTTTTTCAATTCTATCCCTTGAGAAAATGAATCAATTAGCTTCAAAGTTAATGTTTCTATAATGTCTCACTGCAAATACTTACCAAGGCTATAAAAAGCAAAAAAGCTATGAACTGAAACTTTACACACATGAAATACAATTTAAAGATTAGTATTTGGGGCAGGGGAGAAAAACTTTTGGAAAAAAAAGAATAAAGTAGTTTTGTCAATGAGACACTTACCTTCCTCTTGACATCAGAGCCCAGGCTAAATAAGAGAGACCAATAAAAACTCATCTCCAAAATGTAGTACCAGTACTGGGATGGCAGCAAGGGCTGAGAAAAATGAGAGTATTTACTTTAATGTCACTTAACTCATTTTAAGGATAACACTATTGTTTATCCCTATTGATATAAAATTCCCCCAAATAATGATGCTTTACATTTCAGCTCCTGAGAAGGAACTAGAGATAATATCTTCAGGCATTTTATTTCTAAAAGAATTCCAAAATCAAGTCAAGTGAGGGATAGTATCAGAAGTCCTTACCTGTCTGGGATAGCCATTCCACACCTCCCAGAGGTCATATACCCAAGGTTTCTGTTAAAAAAAAAAACAAGGAACCAAGAGAAATAAAAGTGAGTTTGTCAGAATCAAAGGCTGATGTCAGCAGGAAACGTAAGCTGCTCCCAATGTCACCAAGGGGGGCAAACAGGCACAGCCGGGCACACCTGTGCCGCCTTCCCGGGGCTCCTGCTGCACGCCTCTCCCTCCGTGGGTGCTCACACACAGTCCCATACAGCGCCCTGGGACAGCCACGGCTCCCAGCAGTTCTGGCACCAAACACAGTCCTGTCTCACCGGCAAGTAACTTCACAAAACTATTTCCAAACCAATTATATTACTACTTCTCTAGCAATAAAAATATCTTAAGAGAAATGGAATCTTCAGAGAAGTCTCTTCAAGCTGGCTACCTTTTCTTTTTCTACAAACAATTTACTATTAAGTTTATAATCACTTAATGAAATAATTGTTTATTAATTATTTAAACAGACAATGCAAAGGGTAAGGGGAAATTTCGTTTTTGATGGCTGAGTAATGAAAGTCTTCACAGAACAGTGGCATTTGATATGAGACTGGCTGGAATTTGACAGGAATAGAAAGATGGGAAGGACAAGACATTCCTTGGCAGAGGGCATAAAATGCCCTAAAATCCAAAAGTGGGGATGTGCCAGATATGTTCAGTGGTTCATCAGTAGCCCAGGTTAGTTAGTGCATGAGCTGCATAAGTGGAAATAGGGAGAGACTGGATTTAAAAGTTAACTTCCCAAGTGCAAAGCTTAATGAAGGCTTTGAAAGACAGACTGAGTTGTTGCTACTTCTCCAGGCATTAAAGAGGTTAGCGGTTTAAGCTCTGGTTATCTTACTGAAAGTATCATATCCTGAAAGAAAATCAAGGGCAGGACTTTTTAAAAATTCATGACAAATTCCAATCAAAGATATAGAAAAGACAACTTACATCATAGAGAAATGCGATTCCAGCAACAGTAATCACTAAGTAAAATGCAAATCGCCAGCTGCGAAAAGAAAAAAAAGTCTTGTAAAAGTGATTGACATTTGAGGAGAAAAACATTTGGTAGGACAGAAAGAACACACATTCTGGAGTCAAACAAGTCTCAGTTGAGGTCCTGACTCCGCCACTTATTAGATGGCTAGAACTTTAGGGAGGCCACGTAGCCTCTGGGGGCCTCAGTCGCTTCATCTGTAAAATGGAAACCACCAAACTTGACTGAAAATGTAAAAAAATTGAAAATAATGTATGAAAAATACCAATCATAGTGTCTAGCATGAAGTTAGCAGCAGTAAGTGACAGTTGTTATCATTATTATCATGTTTAGCCTAATTCCCGACCCACAATAAATGGTGGCTTATTTATTTCCCAGTGAAAGGTTTCTATGTGGCCAACTCTTTAGTCTGGCCTCTGAAAAGCATATTTTGAAAGGGTATCTTCTTCTCATGTGTGGAGAAAGACCTATAAATTTAGAGACTTAAAAGACATATCATCTAATTGTAACGCATGGGTCTTATTTGGGTCCTAATTCAAGTAAACAAACTGTAAAGAAGATTGGAGATAGGTAAGGAAAAATAAATACTATTTGCTTTTATTAAATAAAATTTTAAAGGGATGATACTCATATTACAATTAGGTTTAAAATTACTGTCAGGCCCTGGCTGGTGCAGCTCAGTGGCTTGAGCTCTGGCCTGCGAACCAAAGGGTCACCAGTTCGATTCCCAGTCAGGGCACATGCCTGGGTTGCAGGCCAGGTCCCCAGGAGAGGGCGTGGGGCGGGCCACACCCTCTCTCTCTCCCTTCCCCTCTGCCTAAAAATAAATAAAATCTGTTAAAAAATAAAAATAAAATAAAATTACTGTCACCAGTATCTTTTAGAGATATGTATATATTAAAATATTTACAGATGAAATCATACAATGATGTCTGCTTCAAAATAATAAAAGGACAAAGGCAGTTAAAAGGTACAAACTTCTAGTTACAGATATTCGCCATATTGTACATTACATCCCATACACAGCTGTATGGTATATTCGAAAGTTTCTGAGAGTAGCTCCTAAAAGTTCTCACCACAAGGAAAAAAACCTTTTTTTTCCTTTTTGTATCTATATGAAGCGATAGATGTTAACTAAACTTGTGGTAATCATTTCACAACACGTGTAAGTCAAGCCATTATATTGTTTACTTAAATTTATACAGTGCTGTATGTCACTTGTATCTCAATAAAACTGAAGCAATTATGACGCACAAAGGACATCTGTGGTGGGGGTAAAAGCAGACAGGAGGGCAGAGGATTGCCTGAGCTGAAAATTACTCAAAGTGGTGATGGATACACAGCATACACAGTTCACTACACTAGTCTTTCTGCTTCAGAATATGTTTATAGCTTTGCAGTAACATTTAAAAAAAATTATTGCTATTTTACCTAATGATTGTTGAAGTAGCCATAATAATAGTAAAAATAATATCTGTTCCTTACATTCGTATAATGCCATGCCCGTGTGACATGGAGAGAGAGGAACGTGGCCTCGCTCCCACTGTGAAGAGGGGAGGGAAACCAGGCTCGCAGAGGCCGGGCTGCCGTCTCCCCAGCGCGCACGGCTGTTAACAGCTGAGGCGGAAGTACAGGTCTTTGGACTCTGAATCCAGCAGTGTTTCCTGAACACTGTCACATAAGCTCGATGACAGCTTTTCTCCATGGTTTGTTTTGATAGATTAAAAAAAGTAGGGCTCAATTGCTCAGAAAGTTGAACCATAAAAACACCCAAAGGGCACTTTATGAAATGAGCTGGCTGAGACCTGTTCTCACGTGACCTGTTTACGGCTGGCCCAGCGAAGGCCCACACGTCGATGCAGAGGGCTTTTCCTTGGCTCCCTGATGGTCTGAGCCAAACAGGAAGCAGCGAGATGAGGAGCCGGTATGCCCTGCAGGCCCAAAGGGACCCGGGGGTCGGGCGGCAGGCCTCCTGGCCCGCGCTTCTCAAGTGCACATCAGCCGCCCTGTGCGGAGCACGCCGGTGGGCACCTTATCCCACTTTTTCCTTTGTCATAAGCTCATGAAGGAGGTGCCTGGTTCTCAGAGGTAGGTAACGTGAGTACTGGAGGGCACTGAGGTGGAGAGACGTCACAAAACTCACCCAGGGCTGCACGGCAACCACCAGATCCAACAGTAAAACCCCAGCTCCACATCTTTCTGGATCAGTCCTAGCAGGTTTCATCACACTACACTAGGTAGGTTCTCAAAGTGTGTGCCCTGGACCCCTGACATCAAAATATTGTCATCGTAATACTGAAATAGTATCTGCCCTTCTCACTCATTCCCTCACAGGTGTCCAGTGGGGACTTCCAGAGGGTCCATGACATGCGATGGCATCGTTGCTCGAAGGGCAAAGGAAATGTGTCTTATGTTTTATAGACGTCTCCGTTTTCATTTCTAATAGTGTAACAATCAGCAGGTAAGACACACAGAAGCAAATGCTCTTTGGCGTCTTCAATAGTTTTTAAGAGAACAAAGGGGCCTAAAACCAAAACGCGTGAGAACGGCTACACCGCTCTACTTACCAGATGAAGGATGACATCCTCGTCAGTGCCATCTCACTTAATTCCGAAGAACATACGGAATTAAGTAAGTCCTCCCCACCCCCAGGGATAAGCCTGAGATAAAAATAATTGTGTGTGTGTGAGTGTCAGGGGTCGGGGACTCCTGGGGGAAAAAAATCCAGAAACGGACAAGGTGAGCTCAGATGCTAATGCTGAAAGATGAGACCGCACGGTGAAATCGGGGCGCAGCTGGACAGCGCGCGCTCGGACCAGCAGCGAGAGAAGCTGCAGCGGGAGAGGGGCCGGGGCGGGCAGCGGCCTGCCGCAGCCAGGTCCTCCCGCCAGCTCGGGGGCGCCCCTGCCTATCTGCACATCGGGTACTTAGCCATTGCCAGGTATTTTGATAGGGAGCTGCACACTGCTGAATGGAAATCTTATTTTATAAAGAAAAGTGATCAGCTAAGACGGAATTTGACGTAAAAATAAAGGATCCACGGTGGATTAAAAGCCTTAAATGCTGCGGAACTGGGCTTAGGGATAATCATTAAAGAAACTACGTTAAGTAATACACGGAAATTAAGGTGCTTGGACCTAATCTATCCTGATATTCAGAGATAATCTATCCTGTACTTAAGGGGTTTGTAGCAAATCCATCTTGATATTACAGAGGAGGGCCTGCCTCCTGGAGAGTGATTTGGAAGAGGCTAGTGCTGAGAAGTTCCTGAGATTTCCTCAAGGCCTGGGGCCAGGCATCTCTTGCTAAGACCATGCAGCACATCCCAGAGCTGATGGAACAAAGAGCCACTCCTGTCCAATTAAACAGGCTGGCATTCTGCTTTAGTCTACTTATTTAGTCCATAGCAACTTTTAACAGCTACCTGAATTCGAGAACATTTGTGGCATTGCTAAAGAATAAGATACAGCTTCAATGTGATGGGAGCATCCATCCTGTTTCCTAAACACGTGTATAATTTCCTGCTTTGTGCCTCTGCCTTACTTGAAACAGACTGCCTTCAAATCATGCTTTCTTTTCTCAGGTAAATCTGATCCATTCCTGAAGGTCCAGCTTTTGCCTGGCCTCCTCTAAAGAGCCTTTCCCTAATGTGTTCGGCCCTACCGGTGCCAGCTCCTCCGGCAGCTCACAGCACATCTACACTTGACCGTGGACTGCAGGCGTAGAGGCCCAGGTGCCACGGGGGTGGAGTAACAATAGGTGCTGTGGTTTCATAAGAGGTAGTCTCATCTTCCTGATCAGTTCTCAAGGCCCGTGACCATGGCTTCCACTTTTAGTTCCCTGAAGAAATCTCCAACTCCACACGATGTAGGACAGTGCCACATACAGAGAAGATAGTCAACATAACCCTCTGCTTTGCCGGACAGATCACGGCAACTCAAAGTTCCTTCGTGTGACCTGAACTCTGTGGCCAACTGTCAGTGAACTCGCTGACAGCCAGATTCCCAAATGTTGGGCCCTGTGACCAGTGACTTGACATAGCGGGCTCCCTGCTTGCCAAGAGGAGCATTAGATGGTGGGGGAACTACAGTGGAGCAGAAGAGCATCAGAAAAGGAGTCAAAAGCCCTGAACACAACAGCCCCACCAACAGCCAGGTGACCTTGAGCAAATTCTTTAAATTAGACAGCCGCGTAGTTTCCCATTTCTTAAACAGGGCTGGCCCCACCTCCCCTGACTGCTTCACACCGCTGCTGGGAGGATCAAACAAAGGTTATCTATAAACTGCAAGGCACTGTAATGTATAGGAAAGTACCAGAGGTTGTCACTGGAGTGTGATTCACCTTGGAGGCAGAGACTCAGTCCCAGCCTGGGGACTGGAAGATAAGGCCCGTGAGCTAGAAGGAGTGAATGAAGGAAAGCAGGAAACAAGAAGATGTGCCAGGAGACCAGCTCCACTCTGGAGTGTGCCACGGTGAAGGCTCGGAGTGATGCACTCACGCCAAGCTCACATCAGCACAGACATTAGCCAGTCTCTCGAGAGCTAAAATGGGAGAGAGGCCGTTAGAAACAAACCAGGCCATACACCTCCAGCCACGGTGGGAAAGGCAGCGGAAGCGGAAGCGGAAGCGATGAGGAGTGGGTGTCAACCTGACGTGTCTGTGCTTCTTAGCATGACCATTGCCCAGTGGGACGACGGTGCTCAGGGAGCTGTTGCAGCTTAGCCTCTCAAAGGCTCTGCTTATTTATCTGAGAGTCTTCTATCAGCTCCTATCCATTTTGCCATCAAAACAACCAGGCCTCTTGAAAGTCGCTAGGCAATGTGAGGACTTCCAGAAACAGGCAGAAATAAGGAACACTATCTGTGTGCAGAATGCAACGTCAAATACAACCCATCTCACCCGTGTTTGTCTGAATGGAAAGAAGAGGAACAAAGGTGTCTGTTTCGGACACCAAAGGCGTGTGGCCTATTCTAACTACTACAATATTCTACGAGGGAGAATAACAGACAAACAAAAGAAAGACCTCAAGTGAACCCAAAGGTAAGGGCAGTGCAGTTCACTGTTCTCTGCGCATATTCCAAGCAGCCAGCTGGCACATCCCCTTTGGCGCCGCAGCCTGCCTGCCCCCGCTGAGCCAACTGCTGCGCCCGCAGGCCCTGGCTGCCCCGTCCACAGGTGGGGTGGCGGGGAATGAGCCCAGGGAGACAGAGGGAAGTCCTCTTGGTGTTGTGAGTGGAGAACAGACATTCTCTGCTCTTATCGTGTGCTATAGCAATTATAATGTGATCGGAAACAAGCGCTAAAGTCTTGTGAACCAGGGCCAACCTCTGCCCTAGAACAAATATCAGTTAAGATATTTTTATAATTTTTCTGGACTTTAAGATAAGTACCCAATCTCTCCTGCTCATCCTAGAGAGTTCAGAGTCTGCCTCGTTTCACAGAGCAGGAAACTGGAGCACAAAAAGTAAGGGGCGGAGCTGGGGGCGAGCCCATTGGCTCTAACCCCAGGACTCTTTCTGAGGCAACCATCCCGCTCCATACAAAACTGCAGCATTTCAGAAGTTTCAGTGTCCTTCTTACCAAGCTTCCTGGAATTTCTTCATCGTGCAAGGCCTCTCTTGATTCCGCCGACTCCGAAACCATCTTGCGACCTGGCGCTCTGTCAAGTTACACTTCTTTGCCAGTCCATAAATCTCATTCTGAAAGGGGATGAAACACATGAATGAGTGATAAAGAGCAGGGTCCGACTGGCAGTCAGTCAAGAGACAGTGAGATTGGATTACGAGAGCCCGTGTACCGGAGAGGAGAGAAATTCTGCATTCAAACTTGGGCCAGAGAATTCACCTCTTTTGCTCATGAAGTCACACACACACACACACACACACACACACACACACACGTTAGAGAATGAGAGAATGTTAATATCCCAGAACTCTGAGTCACTAAGAGAGATCAATTCTTTATAAATTTGTAGCAACTCATATATTCAGGTTGCATACGTGAGCTCACTTGTTCAGCTCAAATTTATTTAGAGCCTCTTAGATATGAAGTAGAGTTTAAGATGCCAATCAAACCCAATCTCTTCATTTTTTCCTATGAGGAAACAGAGTTTTAGTAATGGCACAAGACCTAAAATTAGTAGCAAAGTGAAGACTAGAATTTAGGCTAGTACCTATCCTGTTATTTTACATGATCTTTCCAATAGCTCCAAAACGTAATGCAGGAAAAACTCACACAGGCTCTGGCCATCACTTGCACATTTAATCACATGTAGAGCCTATTTCAAACTGATCTGAAATAATTCCAATAATAAAAAATGATTATGGAATATAAAAATGATGATTGGTTCTCCTCTGGGAAGCAGGAGCTATAGGTTATGATTTAAAATTGGAAACAACATGGGTAATGGATTAGCTCAAAGGTCACAAACCGGAAGTCCTCCCCAGGCCAGACAGGAAACATAAATCTGGCATGTGGACCTGACAACTCCCTGCCAGCAGGAAAAAGGACAAAGGGAATGTGGCCATGTGGCCATCATCGGTCACTGGACTACTTTTTTTTTTTTAAAGATTTTATTTATTTATTTTTAGAGAGAGGGGAAGGGAGAGAGAAAGAAAGGGAAAGAAACATCAATGTGTGGTTGCCTCTCATGCACCCCCTCCTGGGGACCTGGCCCGCAACCCTGGCATATGCCCCGGCTGGGAATCGAACCAGCAACCCTTTGGTTCACAGGCTGGTGTTCAATCCACTGAGCAATACCAGCCAGGGCCAGTGTAGTATTTTAAGTTGTAGTCTTTCAACACAGGTTTGTTTTGCATGTTAAACCTATAGTACTCTCTACGTCAACAATGAAATAAGCTCTGTAATTTTTCTTTGAAGCACCAGCTTCCTTGATCTTTCATTTTCCAATGTAAGCACAAGAAATATTTTCCTCTTAACTTTACTATGAAAAAAATAAAATTGCATAAAACTGACCCTCCGCTTCAGTGTTGAGGAAATAAGCTGAAGCCATCTGGTCATAGCAAACAGAAATGCCCACGGCCTGTCCCCAAGACGCAGCTGGGACCACGCTCTGGCTGACAACTACCAGAGTGGAGGTGCCGGCCCAGACCGTCAATGTGAAGTCGTGAGGTTTTCTTGATGTTGACCAATACCTCAAAGCAAACTTAAGGGACCAACATTGTGAGGGCCAAACAAAGCCTGCGCATGGCCCAATGGCCAGACATCCGACAGCATGTGACCAGTAATCTAGCTTGTGCTGTGCTGTTGTGTGTGTATAATGTCGCAGGCACACAGAACAACAGCAGATAAAATTCATGAGCAAACTCTCACACTGAGACTGGCCAAGGACTAACTGCAGCTTCTACATGCCTGCTAAACCGCTAGCTATTACTTAACCCAAGAGAAGGAAGGCAAAAATGAAGCAAAACAGGACACAGCCTGTATTACACTGCTCCCCTGCAAATAGCCCCCTCCAATACCCAGTCACTGACAGGCAAGGGGTTCGCCGGCTGTTGTTGTTTTGTCCTGTGTTTGGGTTTTGGAGGACACTGAGTTGGCAACTATTTACCGGTCCCTGCTTCTTGCAGGCACTTTGCTAGCCTGTGGAGACCTAAATAAACCAGACTGATAGGGGACCCTACTTTGCAGGGTAAAGTCTGTCTGCAGAGTGAGTCAAAACTAAAACAAAGAAGTCTAACAAGATAGGAGGAATGCCAAGAGAGGGGAAGATTAGGGCACCGTGTGAGCCAGCTTTATGTCGGCAGTTCCCAGAAGTTACACTTCAGCTGAACCCTGAACATGCCCCGAGAAAGAGGGGATGAGGAAGGAGAGTGTCCCAACAGAGGGGCCAGCATGTGAGGTCGCAGGGAGATGGGAGCAGCGTAACACTCGGGAAACAGAAAGAGGCCTGCCTCTCAGTGTAGAATCCTACAGAGAGGAGAGGAGGAAAGATGTGGCCAGAGTCACGTCAAACGTGGCTTTGTCTGGAACTGATCTTGTGGGTTACGGGCTGCTCGCATTTTTAAAGTCTCCTCTTGCAGCCTGGAAAGAAGGCAGGCGCAGGAGTGAGACAAGGAGGGGGCGGTATTCCATCTGCCCTTCGGTTCTAGGCCTCTGCTCCTGCGCACTGGCAGGGAGGGCCTGGCACGCCAGGCTGGGCGAGTTTGGAGAGAGCACCGTGCTCACCACGCCCCCTCACAGGAAGAAGAGCGCAGCTGGCGGAGAGGCAGGAGGATACAGCCGGGAACTGAAGGCAGCAGGTGCACATCCGCTGCTTCCCAGCAGTGGAGCCCTGAGCACTGCCCGCTGAGCCCCGGTGCAAGAGCGGGTAGTAACAATGAGAGTGTTTGCTTCCTGCCTCCCGGGAGTGGTTAGAGGACTGGGGGCTCCTAGATGTGAACGTGTCGTGTGGATTGTCACGTGCTGTGCCAGTGCTGGAGATGGTGGCTGAACGCAGAAGGGAGACCCGGGCAAAACCATTTGAGAAGACCCGCTCCTCTGCCTCTAAAATAATCTGCAGACATGAACAGATTCCTCCCAGCAGAGGGCATAATTCAAACCCTGTTGCTTGGACATATTCTGAAATGCTGCAGCACATATACATTCTTAGAAGGAAGGGGCAGAGGGCGTAGCCTGAGTGGTTTAAATGCTTCCCTCATTCCATCACCCGAAAAGAGTTAGTGAGCAGAGCTCTCCTCACTCGTGCCAAGCACTGTCCTACGCATTGGAAATCAAGCAGGGAGCAAAACAAAGTCCCAGCCCTCCTATTAGAGTTTTCCCAGATCTGAGGACAATGTTATTATCCCATCATGTCTACAGATAGCTGCCTAAGAAGTGCATCCAGAAGACAGGAATCGAACAGGATTTGAAGCATTTTTTTTTTTCTATGTTGCAGATCAGATGAATCTGGTTGAAGGTCAGTCTTGGCAATACTGGCTCATCCACTGCAATGGTATTGGGATGGAAGTCCTCTTGCAAACAAGTCTCTAGAAGTGTTTTCTTTCATTGACACATAAAAGTAGCATGTATTCAATGTGGACAATGTACAGAAAATTGTGCCAGGTGTTATAGAAACAAGCATAATTAAGCAACAAATGATGTCCCTTAGGAAAATTTGAGTTGTGAAGACGTGTTTAAAAAACATTCCTGTAGAAGTCAGTACGAGACATACAAACAACAGTCACAATACTGAGCATCTACTGTGTGTCAGGCGCTATTCTAAGCACTCAGCTCAAACCTCGTGAGAGCCCTGTGAGATTAGCATTAGGACCATGCTCAGTTCACAGAGGGGGCAACTGAGGCACAGAGCGGTTAACCTGCCCACCTCCACATACAGTCCGCAGCAGAGCCGAAGTCTGGACCGCGCAGTCTGTCCTCACGAGCTGTGTTTTATCTTGGACACTGTGGGGAACCTCAAGGAGAAGCTGCGTGGCCTAGCGGAAGGGCCCTGAGTAGGGCAAGGAGGCCTGGCTCCTTGATGTAGAAACAAACCCTCCGGAAGTGCAGATCTCGGAGGGATGATCTGGCCTCTTTGGCTCTCACGTGTCTCACCTGGAAGTTAAACCAAACTAGAGAGCTTTCTGCTCTAGGAAGTTGGGATCTGTGGGTGAGACAAGTTAGCAAACTAGCATGCCCTCATGCACCATAACACTGGGCTTTCTGTCACCCCACACCGCCATGTCTTCTTGAGATTTCTCCCAGAACTATAGACTTATTTTTCTGCATCAGCTGTCATTGAGGTTTTGCTGAGGGAGAAGGCTAGATAACAAGTTCTGCCATTACTCCATTTTATCAATAGCAGAATAATTGATCTGTTGGCCAGAGCTGCTGGTCTGTTATCATGGCTCTCTCCCAGTACATCTTGAAGTTGTTACGGAGATATATATAAAGAGAGACATAAACACATATATAAATAATGGACACACAGCTGCACATACACAGGCACAAAAGAATTGTGCAAAATCGTAGCTCAGAACTCTCATGGGAAGATGATGTGTAGAGTATTTTGGGGCCTCATCAATACCATGTTATACCCTTCTGTGCTAACCAGCCCAGAACCGATACTGTATATATTGAAATATTTTTGTTTTTATTGGTGCAGTCAGCAAGAGCTAAAGAAGCATCCTCTCATCCATGTACTCAAAATTGTTTTAGTAAAGTCATGTGTTGTCCACATGTATTAGCACTGCAATATTCTGCCATTATAGCTTTGGAATACTTTGAGGTAATACTTGTATCTTGAAACAGCACAAAACTTTTTTTAGTTCCCCCCAACAACTTGTCTTACCTCAGCCAAATTTATGGCTATCTATATGACAAAATACAGACAAAATGCTGTTTGTATGACATTGGCCAAGTTAATATGGGAGATATTATGAGATTATTTTGTTTCTACATCTGAAATTACTATTAAGTCATGTACTTTGCCTTCCCCTATTATATCCTGTCTTCCCAAGTTCTAGTACTTGTAACCTTTGGGCATTTTTTTGGACAACTTGTTATCCTCACCTGTGATGCAAATACAGTTTCAATTTTATAATCTACAAACAATGTAACTCAGAAATCTTATTTTCTTTCCTCTTCTTGGTTTGGGGTTGGTGTATAACATTTCTGCTTTCACCTGATGCAAATATGCATACTATGCATATTGAGTTAGAACAATTACTACAGTTGTTCCGGCCTTTGAAATAAAATTTTAATATTCTACTCACAGATGAAGGAGTCACTTGGGCACAACAGGGACAGCACTGGTCAGGGAGCTGAGGACCAGGTTCCAGTTATAATTCAGCCGCTAATCAGCTGCAGGACCCAGGCATCTCGTTTCCTCTTATGAGGCCTTAGTTTCCCCACCTCAGACATGAAGAAAAAAGGTTACCTAATCCCTAAATCTCTTTCAGCTTTTCTTAGTTTTTCTTTAACTGGCACATGGCTACTATCTCTCCAAAGCAGGGAAACTTGATGAAGACCAAATTTTCTGCATAAGTTTAAATCTCCTAAAAAGTCGGCTTGAAGCTCTTGCTATATAGCAAGCAGGCCAGGCCACTGAGAGCCCAGCACTGTTATTCATGTTCTATGCAAGGTGCGACCAAAGGTAGTTACTCTCAAACAGAAACAGGAGGATAAGGACCTTGTGAAAGAGTCCTAATTTTTCATAAACACGGCTCCATAATTTCCCTTCTGAAAGGTGTAAAAAAAGGATGTTTAGGCATTATTTTCATTAGCGGTGACGACAGTATTTAGACGAACAGCTGCACACTCTTTCAGAGCACGCGGAAATAAAGAAGAAGGTGTGGAGGTAGCCTGTCAGACTGTCCGCATTTGAGAAAAAGGAAGAAGTCAAGTACAGGAGACAGGGGCAGAAGGTGGAGGTGGTGCTGGCTGGTCACGGGTGATCCTGGACACTCTGCCTCGTGCTCCCTGGTGTGGCCCCAGTGGGTCTTCTTTGTGCAAGAAACCCACCCGCACAATGGCAGACAACATCCCAGAAGTAACTGAATTCAGCAAATGAAGTTCAGGACCTTGAAACTCCATCTGTCCTAAAGCTGTGTTAGCATACACTTTTGACTTTTAAAATTATTAGTGATAACTGTCTGCATTCATCATAGAAGGTGTTCCACTTTTGGAGAAGGTTTTTATCTCATCTCTCACTTAATTGTGGAAGTATAAAGAAACTAGAACTAACTGGAGGATATTTTTTTAAACTATTAGATCAAAAGGTTTCTCTATAGTACGTAAACATGCAGTATACTACAACATTCCATGAAGGACATCCTGCATCGTGAAGAGAATGATGACTTCTCAGAACTCTGTCTCTAGGGAGCAGGCAAGGGCAGAGCGTATTTCTGAGTGTGTTAACGCCTTGGATAAAATGAACGGTCTACTGCATGAAAGTCACCAAAATAGACACGTTTCTAATGTGGGTAATGTATTGCTGGCGCCACAATCATCCCAAGTGTCAGCTATGGGCGACTCTGTCTTAGTAGTGATTTTTTTTTCTACCAGTGCACAGTGTATACAAGTATATCCACTAAAAACTAAAATTTGATTTTCACACTCAAGTTATATCTTTAACTGTTAGTGTTCAATACTAGAGTTGTACACAATAGTTCAACTATTAACATTTGTAATTTTGTATTATAATATTGACTTGTCATTTTATATTATGCTTGGAATGCTATAAAACCTATCGATAAAAAAATCCAAATGAATCAAATCATTTGCCAGTTAACTGGGACAGATTTCTTCCACAGATGAGGTAAGGCACAGATGACTGAAACATTAAGAAAGATTTTTAAATCCAAAAGCAAAGAACTTGTACTTACTTGAGATGGTTGCCTTGTAGAATGTTTGAAAAAATTCTCTAAGACACTGTTTGGTATAACTTTTCGTACTTCTTTAATGCCAAATGCTTTTGCTAAAGGTGTGGCAACAAACCTACAAAAATATGAAAGACGGTAAGTTCAAAGTCTGATAGTGAATGTACAATGACACCAGAAGACTCAGGTTGTAATTGTGGATTCCAAATGGAAGCTCAGTCATTGGTTTATGTTGTCGTTGGACTGCCTACAGCCAACATCTATCTGCCTTGCAGAAATTCAAGGAAAACAAATTTTGAGACCTCTTATGTAAGCAGTAACTTCAAAAATAAAATACTTGCACAATTCTAAAGTCTATTCTATGTAAATCCAAATATATTTATATACAAGATCCAGGAGTTAGGATAAGACATGCCACTTAGAGCTTTGTTTTCAAGATTACTAGAGATTAAAGTTTTGGTATTAAATGTTTTATTTGGTGATATTATCTTACATTAATTACTATGTTCCATTTTGAAGTTCTGACTTAGGAAAAATGTCATAGTTCTGGGTAAATATCTAGAAATGGGATCGATGGATGGTATGGTAAATATACTTCACTTTATGAGAAACTGGCACATTGTTTTCCAAAGTGATTGTGCCATTTGGCATTCCAACCAATAATGTGCCAGAGATCCAGTTACTTCATATCCCTGTCAATGCTTGGCATTGCCAGTCTTTTTAATTTCAGCAATTCTCCTGGGTGTATAGTGGTTTTCATTGATTTTTTTTTTACTGTAATCTTTATTATTTCCTGACCTCTACTTGTTTTAAGTTTAGTTTTCTCTCCTTTCTTTCCCCCAGTTCCTCTAAAGTAGAAGATTAAATTATTGAATTGAGATCTTTCTTCTTTTTCAATTAGAGGTGTTTACAGCTATAAATATCCTTCTAAGCTCTGCTTTTGCTGCATCTCATCATTTTTGGTGCAGTGCTTTCTTTTTCATGCATCTCCGTGCTTTGTAATTTACCTTGTGATTTCTCCTCTGACCCATTAACTGTTTAGAAGTATGCTGTTTAATTTCCATATATTTGCTAACTTCCCAATTTCCTTGTTATTATTTTTCATTTCATTTCACTGTGGTCTGAAAACATATTTTATATCATTCCAAACCTTTTCCACGTATGGAGGCTTGTTTTATGGGTCCATAGATGGTCTGTTCTGGAGACTGTTTCTGGTGCTCCTGAGAAGAATGCACATTCTGCTGTTGGTAATGGGTGGTGTATCCTATATATGTCTGTTAGGTTGATTTTATTTATAGTATGGATCAAGTCTCCTATTTCCTTGTTAATCTTCTACATCGAAGGCGGTTGACAACTCTGCCTTAGCCTTCACTTCCAGTTTGCACAAAGCCTCAAGGTCATCCAGATGTACGGACTTAGGGTTTTCCCATGTTTTTTTGTGAACACATGGATAGCCTCAGCATGCGCAAAGCTCTGCAAATGCAAACAGCCTCTGATTTCCAAAAATATGTCAGAGCTTTTCAAAGTCCCCTATGGACATCCTATTTTCCAGCTACGCCTTCTCAAAGTTAATCAGTTGCCTCTAATTGTTTTAGACAAGCACCAGCAAGGAAAAGGGTTTTCTCAGGGGCAAGTTCTGAGTCAGGTCCCATAAAGACAGCCTGTGAAGAGGTGAATCATGTCTTCCAGAGAACCACTAGACAGGTCAGAGAGTGGCAGTTCTCTGGCAACAACGCTTTGAAGCATCACTGTTCCCTTGCCTGCGACGGCTGCAGGGCTGCGGGTTTCCACTGAAACTGCAGGCTGCTGCTGGTGCGGCCAGGCTCTCACGGGGGTGCAGGGGGCAGGGCAGGAACAGGGCAGTGGAAATGCCACGGAGCTTGCCAGTTTCTTCCAAGAGTTGGCTGTTTTTCTTCAATAAAATCCCCGGGTTATTGCAAGCCTTTGGTTAATTCTGAATTTGGAAAAGTTGATTTTGACAACATTTGTTAGCTTTCTGATTGCCCTTATGGAGAGAATTTTCAGAACTGCTCAAATCTTTTGCCCATTTTTAAAATCGTTACTTTTTTGTTTATTAGTGAGTAACATAAGTTTTTTTACATATTCTGAATTTAAGTCCTTCAGCAGATATATGTTTTCTACATATTTTCTCCCAGTCTACGGTTTGCCTTTTCATTTTATTTATTTCTTTTAAAAGTAAATACTAAGGCACTTCTTGCATAGCATGTAATTCCCCTATGTCAAGCATACTATTCAGTGATTTTTTTTAAAAGAAAATTTACCAAGTTGTACAGTCCTCACCATGAATCAGCTTTAGAATATTTTCATCCCCTAATACAGCCCCTCATGCGTATTTACTGTTAATCCTGTTTTCTCACACCACCGCCTCCGGTAACCACTGATCCATCTTCTGTCTTTATAGCACGGACTTTTCGGGATATTAAATGGACTCACACAATAGATGGTTGCTTAGATGTGGCTTCCTTCACCAGGTCTAATGTTTTCTGAGATCCATCCACATATTTGAGTATACTGATATTTCAAATTCATTCCTTTTTCTTGCTCATTTTATGGACATAAAAACATTAACAATGTCTTTTGAAGAGCAAACATTTTAGCTTTTTACCGAAAGAAATAAAAGCACATGCTGACCAAATGCTTATACTCAAATGTTCACAGCAGCTCTATTTATAACAGCCAAAAATTGCAAACAATTCAAATTTCCAACTAATTAGAGGATGAATTAATAGCGGTATATCCACACAATGAAAAACTACTTCGCAATGAAAAAGAATCACTACATACATAACAATGTAAAAAAATCTCAAAGCATTATGCTAAGCGAAATGAAGTCAGACACAAAAGATTACAATCTATACAATTCCATTTATAGAAAATCCAGAAGATGCAAAAATTATACAGACGGAAGCATGTCAGTGATTGGCAGGAGCCAGTATTTAGGGAGGAGACCAGCTGAATGGGGTACTAGGGAGGTGTTCATCAGCTGAAAAACTGCCACAATTGTGGTGATGGTTACATGACTGTATACATTTGTCAAAATGCATCAAATTTTGGATGAACTTTATCGTATGTAAATCACATCTCAAAAAAACTGATTTTTAAAGATAATAATAAGTCCTCATTCTTCCTTCAGTTCTAACAAAGGCTCTATCTCCCACCAGGTCAGCCTATTCTTATACTGACTTAAGAGTTTCTGTGTTTGATTAAATGCTGGAAATTTTACTTATGAATGATCATTTAGCCCTTCAATTCATTTTTTATAACCATAGGAGTTGAATAAAAATTTCCTAAGATAATCTGATAAAATGTATAAACCAATCCAACTTCCAGATGGACTAAGTGCTCCTGGAAATGGCCCATACATTTCAGAGACATATAAAAACAAACTAATTATGCACCAGATGTACACAGAGCCATGCGGATAGATCATAAAACATAGTGCCATACTTTAAAAAAAGAAGAAACAGAATAGGGTCTTATCACCATACCATATGTCAACTAACAATACATACAATTTATGTTTATGCACATGTTTTACTGGGCCATACAAACAGAAAGCCATCAAAAACATTAGAATCCAGCAGGGAGGGGAATGGGAATAGGAAATGGGGATAAAAGGTAATTAGTGAAAAAGTTAATTCAAGTCAATCAATCAAAAGAGGTCTTGCACAGACCAAAGACAGCATGCTATGATCTGAGGGACATGATTAATTACTTCCCTCTTTGCATAAAAGGTCCAAATAAAACAAAAACTAAGATGTTCTTAAAACTAACAAAGTCTCAAGAAGCATATCGGACAGGGTTTTGGATAAATAATAGAATTGGTGCATCTATCCAACCTACTAGTTGAAAATTTTTATTGGAGAACACACTTATTGTTTTTACTAGTAGAATAACACAAATACAAAATGGTTCAATATGGTCGTGTTCTCAATCATAATCACTCAATGCTATCTCCTCAAATGTTAGAAATGAAGAAGTTAGGAAAAATGAAAAAACAGTTGAATCAAGCCAAGAAGTCCTATGCGGTAAGGGAACAGAGCCAATCTCAGAGCCAAATGAAGTATATAACATTCCCCTCTGAATGGTCACGTGAGAGGAAGCGTGTGCATAAGTACACACAGTGGATAAACAGACATCCATAGCACACTTGCTGATATGAAGAACAAATCTATATTAATTTAAACAAGAAAGAGAAACACGGTCTTGTTTTTTAACATGTCCAGGCTTCAAGCACAGAAATAGCATTTTCCATACAACAGGGGAAATACATAAACATGGTTTTCTACTTCAGCATTGTCCTTCCTTTTCAAATCGATCTAGAAAATCGATCACTTCATCTAATGTAAGGGTAAGTGAATATGAATAGGTATGTAATTAAAAATCTATTTTGTAAAAGGAGAGAATAAAGAATCACAATAAATATTTGATAAACTGAACTGCACACAGAAGGGAAATGACAAGCCTAACCTCTATAAGGACCTTAGATATTAACTTGCTTAGACTTTCATTTTATTGCTGTGGAATAGAAAAAAGTCCAAGAAAGAAGAACAAGAACTTCTGCTCCCACGTAAATGGTTCAGAGTGAGGTTTGTCACCAGGAAAGGGTCCTAGGCTTGCTACTAGCGCAGATATGGGCCACCCAAAGGCCCCGTTCAGGTACCCTAAGCGCTCCTCCATAACCCGGCACCACGTGGGTTACCTATGAGCCAAAGCCTCTCAATCCCAGGAGCTCCCTCTCACCTCTTCAATATTATTTCATTGAATAATAGGAAGGCAGGCCTAGGCAAATACTAAACATATGAAGCTTAAGTAATTCTCCTAAATAGAAACAATAGCCTACTGGCATAAGATTGCTTCCTTGCTCCTAAGGATTCAAAGGCTCTTTGACCAGAAATTGATCAGAGGGTTTTATGGGAGAAAACAAAATATCTGGAGCAATAGAATCCCAAATAACACTTAGTCTAATGTGTGGATTGAGAGACTGTTTCAGTTGAGGCCAGGAACAATGGTTTTTGAACTGCTGTACACTGCTACACCTGTCCTCCTTTAAAGGATGATGGGTGTGCTATCCCATCATGCCCTATGTGGCCAAGTAGAGGTGGCAGAGGTGGGGAATCTATTCATTGCAGACTAAGTGAAAGAAAACAAGATGACCTTCTCATTTTACCAACTCCACCCCTGCCTTGGACTCTTCTGGGGACCCAATTTACTGTGACAGAATGTGTTTATTTCACAAGTATTTAAAGTTGAGTAGCTTAGATCCCCTTTAGATCACACTTCAGACACTTAAAAGAATACATAGAAGAGACTGGATACACTAGTTAGAAACTGCTATTCTAGACCAAAAAAGAAAACCAAACATAAGCCACAAACTAGAATTTGTAAGGAAAGGAAACCCTAAAGCACACAGCAAATGTCAGTCACTTTCAGGAGATGTACTTGTTTGTCCTTTATCAGTTCTGTCTCTCCACCCTTGCTCTCTGTCTAGAAAAAAGAAGGGACATTACTTCCCGGCCTTCAATGTCTCCTGGCTAGTGCTAAAGGATAAAAATGGGCAGCCAAATCACAAGTCCTGGTCACAATTCCTAGAACAAAAGAAGGAAGCTCTCTTGTGATAAACATATCATAGAATATGCTGGAACTTGGCATCAAATTTACATGAATTTTTAAGATAGTTTAACCCTGACCAGTGTGGCTCAGTGGGTTGGGCGCTGTTGGTTTGATTCCGGTCAGGGCACATGCCTGGGCTGCCAGCTGAGTCCCTGGTTGGGGGCATGTGAGAGGCAACAGATTAATGTTTCTCTCTCTCAACAATGTTTCTCTCCTCTTTCTCCCTCCCTTCCCCTCTCTCTAAAAAATAAAAATAAAATCTTTTTTTAAAAATGGCATTTCAGAACATTTCACATTTGCTATTAACCCTTTAGGCTATGTCTTCTGTATTCCCAAGAGATATTAATTTATTCTCTTTTGCCATCAGGAGTACTTCTGCTGTGAAAGTCCAGGAAGAACCAGTAGGGGGAAAATAAAAAGCCAGCACCCTTGGACCTGGTGTCATAACATGTGGGTGCAAGTCCCAGACCCACTCCTTACATACTTCTTGTCTGACCTTGGCTGGGTCACTTCCCTCTCATTTTCTCCACTGAGATTCCATCATTTGTGATTTTATGTACTTCTTAAACTATAAGTTTCTATTCTAATGTAAGGTGTCAGTAATATTTTATTTATTAGTGGTTTAATCTAATACAAATGATATGGAAGCCCTGGAAAGAAATGAATTTACACTTCAAAAAGCCTGATTGCTCTTCCATGTTAATTTTTCCTTATTTCTATTGCACTAAAAGAGCTACGAGACTAGTAGAACAACACATAGTGTTCTGTAGTGTCATAGAATGGAAAAAGTTAAGGGCGAGTTACTGGGAGTTAAAATTAGAAAGACATAGGAGGAGACAGACTTTACTTAGTCACTTGAGATGCATTAGCAATGGTCCTAGGAATTACAAGAGGACTGGATTCCTTCCTGATTATTGGTGAGGCCAAGACCAAGACAAACTGGTCCTCCATGGCTGTGCTGCTTTGGCATCCAAAAGAATTTTCTAGTTCACTGTCCTCACTGAAACATAAAAAGATGGAGCTGTCCACAAAAAAAAAAAAAAAAAAAAAAAAGCAGAAAATCTACAATGCAAATAGGTAGAGGACCTGGATGTCAAATTCAAAGATCACCCGACACTCTGCAAGAAAAGTAAGCACTTTAGGACGGGAAAGAATAATTTGCTAATTTGGTAGTACAGTGGCAAAATTCTACTTTACTTATTTACACATTCTTTGACAAATCCAAATATATAAGTTAAAAAGTAGAATTAACTGTCAAAAAGGAAGAACACTCTCAAATGTTCTCCGCTAGGGTTTCGTGGTGTCCGGGGGCTTTCTCTTCCTCCTCCCGATAGGAATGGCACATTTTTGGCCCACGTGAGGTTGTTATTTGTACAGAAACCTTTTGGAGAGTCCAGGAAACAGAGTTGGTCAAACTAACTCTCGAGATAAGGACCCTGCAAATGGTTATAAACATATGATCTGCATTACAGTTAGTCTTGGACAAAATGATCTTTATCAGATTTTGTCTTAAGTTTTTCCAACTCCTGACATTCAAGTATTCTTTTTGCTCCAAAAAAATTATGTGCTAATAACAGTTTTTTGAAAGAGAGACAACTACAGAGATTATAGATGAACATTTATCTCCTATTATCATAACACTAGCACAGTTTTAATAAAAAGGTTGAAAGTAATATCTATTTAAATTAAATTAAGAAAAAGAAGTTTACTTTTCCTGAGAAAGCAAATTTATATTTTTTTTCTTTGATTTCCTTATACTTTGGACCTAAGCGCTGCTATTAAAACTTTACATAAACCTTTAAAATAAACTATGCGATAGAGCAATACTAAATTTGATCTTTAATGAGGCATTTTTGCTATTTTATAGGCATTCTACAATGATAATGCACCCCCTAGCCATAGCCTCTTCTAACACTGCCTTCCTGGAAATCCATGTCTTTTGTGAGACGCCATGGCCTGTGGGAGACAAACGAGGTTCCCACACTGGCAATGACACTAATAAGCTCTGTGATACTTAACCTCTCAACCTCAATTTTCTTTTTTTAATTGTTCAATTACAATTGTCCCAGTTTTCCCCCATTGCTGTCCTATGCCCCGCCCATCCCTGCTCCCCCAGCCAATCCCCACTCTGTTGTCCATCACCATGGGTCCTTTGTACATGTTCCTTGACTAGACCCTTCTCCTTCTTTCCCATTATCTCTCTCCTCCCACCCCTCAAGCACTTGTTTCTAATTTTTATTTGTTCAGCTTCTAGATACCATTTGGCGTGCTTTTGATTTCCTGAACTCCCCAAGAGTCGGTAGCCCGTGAGTGGCAACCTCTGAACAACAGATTCTTATGGATCTTACCAAAATTCTACTATTCTAGAGTTGAGACAAAGAAGGGGAAAGGGAGGGGAAGACACACAAACAATACTTACTTTTCAAAGAAATGTCTGATAATCAGCAAGCCAAAAGCATATGGAATTGTCATATACAAATGAGAGGGTTTTACAAAGACAAGTCCATCATGATCTTCAAGATCTGACCACTTTATTGTCGTTGGAAGCCAGAATCTTTCCAACCAAAACCAGTCTTTAAACGTCTGAAACATTCTAAAGAGACAGAAAAAGAATGCATTAGACTTGTAAAACAAACAACATTGAGATAACATTGAGCACCTTTACTCAAAATGCCTAGACCAGGGAATTCTGGAAAAAAGAAACAAGGTGAGAATGGAATACTATTATTGATGGTATTGATGTTCATGACTCTTCATTGCATTAAACAATAATTGCACTGCCAATACTCACAGAGCCATTTTGGCCATGTTGGGCAAACTGAAGTTTAACACACCACTGCTCATACTTTCTGTACAAGATTTGTTAATGTTACAGGTATGCATCTTCCTCTGTATGATTCTATGGTATGAGAAGTAATGGTAATCTCTACAACTTCAACACGCCAAAGGTCAACCTCATGAAAGGTCCAAATAGTGTATAAATCTTTATTAGAATCCCAAGAACTTCTCTTGCAAACAAAGAGCAAGCACATTTTACTTCCTATTACAGTAAGTTCCAATTAGTCCACATCAACAAATATTTATCAGATTCTCCTATGTGTGAAGCACTGTGGTAGCACTGAGGATTCAAAGATTAAAAAGACAGCATTTCCTCCTTAAGGACCTGAGATCTGGTGGGCAAGGCAGGCCTGAACAGACGACTTTGACGCATTATTTTTTAGGTACAATAGAAAAGGTATATACAGGGTGCTGTGGGAAAAAGATGGTGGGCACTAGCCCAGCCAGGAAGTGTCAGGAAAAGGCCATTGGAACAGATGATCCTTGAGATGTCTTGAACAATTAGTAGAAATAAACCAGGGAATGGCAGAAAAATGGGGAGGAGGGAATATAAGTTTTAGGGAGAGAACCCAGCAATATAGAATATAGAATTAGATGTCCTAACCTCATTGTATAGGCTGTGACCATTTTAATCTTGACACTTTGACCCTAAGGATGTTTGGATTTCATCTTTTAAAAGTTAATCAGAGGAAGGAATCAAAATGTCCTACAATTCAAACACAGTGGTCAAAATAACTCTATCAAAACCTCCTTGCTTTGTAAATATCATGATACTCATGGGAACAAACCCTCGGTTCGGTACTCTACAGCCCAGGACTGCGAGGTGTGCGGTGCTGGGTTACACAGAGGTGCCCCGAGCCTCCGTTTGTCATCCTGGCATAACTATTAATAGCACCTCCTTCCTTTCAGAAGAGGTCCAGAGTGGGCAGTGAATCACATGGTCACTCTCATCAAGAGGCTGGTGAAACAGGTAAGGCTGGGTCGTAGAGGGCCTGTACTCCATGCTAGGGAGCTTGGGCGTTAGCTGCTGGAACCCAACGCTGAGCAGCACACGGAGGAGTAAAATGGTTGGGTAGTTTAGAAAAGGTCGCTTTGGCAGCCAGGTTCTCTCTGAGCCCATATGCTGTCTCTGTAGCAAGTAGAGGATGGTATCTTCTGTGGGCAGGTTTCTACCCAGCAGAATGAGGGCTGGGTCCCACCCCACATGGCCCCTGGCCAGAGGCGTGGCAGCTCTGCTGGCCGTGGTGTGGAACACGTATCAGGAGAAAGGAAGACTGGAGGGTGACCGGGAGCTTCAGCACGAGGCACAGTGGGACACGGGAAGGCTTGCGCTAGGGCAGAGGCATCAGGGAACTGAGGAAGAATGTCGTTCATGAGAGCGCACCCGAGACCCGAGCTGGGTAGGAAGAAAGGGAGGCCTGGGGAGAAGTGACATCTAGGGGAAGGGTAAAAAACTCAAGAGACCGGGGATAGAGAACAGTGGGGACAGAGGACCTGAGGGGACGGGAAGGCTGTCAGAGGGAGGCTCCGAGCAGAGCACTGCCTTTGGATTTGGACTCCATAGTAGGAAGAGTTCCAGAGTGCGGACCCCCGTGTCCTTCAGAAAACCCACGCCAAAACTCATTGGCGAACCATGGGGAGAGGACGGCCACCTCATTTCATCTCGCCTCCGCTGTTCAGAGATGGCTCATCCTAAGTAGCACCGTCTCAGGCCCAGCCACACCTACGAGGTGTGGAGGAGCAAAGATGCCCCCCCCCCGCACATACTAATCATTTTACTATCATTCTGCCCTGGGGGAGGATAGATCCCACTAATAGAGTTGCAAAGCTGTGCAAATATGGTGCAGCACTGATGATGATCAAGATACATTGAACACATCCTGTCTGTCAGGCTATGGGGCCGCCGGAAGGAAGGGGTGATCCCAGATTCAGGAGGCGCTCACAGCTGAGTCAGCACCGACGTGGATCCGGAGGCAGCGAGGCTGATGAAGCAGGTGTTGGGAAGGAGGAACAAACACACCTTGGTAAGGGAACTGAGGATTCGAGCTTTTTCGCCTGGGCCACCTGCCATAAGTGGCCACAGGAGGAAATTCGTTCTGAGAGGCTCAGCCAGATAAGGCTCAGAACAACAGGAGGTGCGAGTCAAACTTCACCTAAAATTCAAACTTCCTACAGATCTTAGAAACCAACCCAGACCACGGGAGTCTCTCTCTACCAGGCCCTGTCCCTCGTGCATCAGAACAAGGTACTCCTGCAAGGGCCAAGATATTTTTTCCTAGAAGTTTGCCTTAGCAGGTTTATTACTTTATTGGCTCCAAATTTAACAGACTAGGACTTGGGGGACAAATAACAATGACAATGGGTTAGACTTGCTTTTGATATGGTTATAATAATTGTTATACAAAATAGTTGGCTTGTTCCTAACCCATGACTCTAGGAAGTGTAGATTATTCTGTCCAGGGTCAAATATAAATATTTCTAATTGGTATTTATTATAGTATTTATAATTTAGTGAATAATAAAATAGCTAAAAAATTCTAATTGAAGAATTAAATAAATAGCTTATGATGATTATGTAGGAGTTGGCTGCTCTGAACAAATGCCCTGTGCACCACATGCAAGCAATGAATCAAGATGTGATGAGAGCCATAGCGACTTTAATACCCAATAGCCAAAAACATTTAAAGGAAAATAGAGATAGAAAGAATTCAGAAGTTGAGGGTGGACCCCTGGAAAACGCAGTTCAAACTGAGAAAAAAAAGCAAATCTACATTATTCATTCTTTCTTCACATGCTGCCACCTAACATCAATTATTGCTCCTTCAAAAGAGTTAACGATCGCTTCTTTACAGCATACGCAAAAATCAATGCAAAATGAAACACAGACCTACAAATAAAGGCTAACATAATGAAACTCTTCGAAGACTATCAAGGAGTAGATCTTCATGATCTTGGGTTAGGCAAAGCCTTCTTACATAGGACACCAAAAGCGAAATGCCAAAATATAAAACAGATAAGCTGGACGCCATCAAAGCGAAACCTCTTGTGCTATGCGCCTCCCCGTGCTAAGGCCACAGGCCTGTGCCGGCACCTCTGGCATCCTTAAGAGTCGCCTTGCCCAGACCCCAGCATGCCGCACGCGCCATTTGGAGGTAGCCCAGCACCCGGCCTCACAGTAGCAGGGAAACCGCCGCTGTTGAGTGGAGTTGGTGCAATGCCTTTCCCACTGCACAAGCCAAGGTGGACAGTTCTCCTTTTGCTGGCGGCCGGCCTGGGATGGCCTAGGCTTGGCCAACTGGATGCTTTTCTCGGGACTCTGAGCCTGGAGCAATAGCGATATCCAGCAGCAGCAGATGGCATCCGGCCTGGGCTGCAGCTGCAGCTGAAGAGACAGTTGTCTCTCGGCTTCTTGGCCTTCCTCATCTCCTTGGTTTCTGCTGTCACCCAAGTCCGGTCCACCACCCTCCTGCAACGCTGTGAGTCACTTCCAATAAAGTCCTTTGTTTGTGACAGTAAGAAAGGGGTGGATTCAGTTGCCTGCAACCAAGGGCGCTGTCTGATACACCTAGCACTTTCCCCACCCTCCTGGAAATGAAGCTGATAGCTCCAATTCAGTCGTCTGAACCTTAAATTTAGCAGAGGTGCCTGGATTAAGTTTTCTTCTACAGGTTAAATGGAGAAGCGGGGATGCCCTTGAATAACTGAGGAGGGGCTGGCAGCCTATAGCATTTGTCACTTTCTCCTTCTCTTTAGCCTCTGATCTCATCTTGCTGACAATGGGCACTCATTTGTCCCCTTCCTTTCTCCCCCGTTTTTGCTCCTGCTTTGCCTAAACTTTGAACCAGATAGTGGCCCTCGTTGTCACGGTTAACTTTAGGCTTTTTGTTGCTATTGTTCAGGGTGCAAGAGGTTGCTGGCCTCCCTCAAAAAGGTGCTGGGTGGGATGCAAAACCAATGCCCGACACAGTGAGCGGATGATCTCTTCGTGCTGCGTTAAGTGTCTAAGTACTGCAATGCTTCAACAATGCCCAGATGGAAAGAGAATTAGAAAGGACTGAGATGGAGACATACCTGCATTTTTAAAGCCTCACAGATGACTGCTCTGAAAACAAACCCTGAGCCCTTGCAACAATGAATCTGTCATTCAGGGACCCTGCCTGTGACTCAGTCACTTTTTGGACAGTTTGACTCACACATTAAACTTGCAGTCCATCTCTCATCTTTATTGATTTGGCTGAACTCTATGCCTTTCTGGCAACTGAAAAACTGTCAACTCAGTTAACAACTCTCCAGTCTCTCTGCCTGGTATTCTCTTCAAAGTAAGTGCATTTATTTACTTCTTGGCCATTCCCAATCCCCTTCTTTCTCGTCAGTTACTCAAACTCCCCTTTTCCCATCCCTTGTACATTCTCTAAGTACTGAAATTCCTAATTATAAAAATATCTGAAGGAACTACAATACTTATAGAAGAGATTTGAGGCTATTTTCAAAATAAGAAATATTTGCAAGAGAAATGCTTGCATTGATTTCTTTTTATTTAGGGAAGCACCAGTAATGGAGGTGGCGTCATAACCCAGCTGTGTTTTCCCACCTGCTATTATCGTGAAATTTTTAAGCCCTATTTTCAACTCCAGCTGCCAGCAGTTTGCAGAAAGACAGTCTAACTAATGTAAGTTCTTATGACTCATTATTTTCTGACCTCATGGATACAGAACCCAACATGGTAAAGGGAGCCAGTTGAGCCTCTTTCTCAGA